AAATAAAATTGCTATATATTTAAATTTCATCTAAAATCTTCTTTAAAAATATCCATTCCTCCCCATATCCCCATATTGCTCAAATTAACTGATATTCTAGACTTCTGATCCTGAATCCTGCCACAGTATCTTCTCAACTACAAAGCTCAAAATCAGAGGATACCTCCCATTTTTATTACCAGCACTTTAATTTCAGAGTGCAATTTTCAATAGCCTTATATTGTCCTGAGTGTAGAGAAAGTATTCTTAGTCATTCTGCCCTCCAGAAAGTGGCTGAATTCGTCTAAGAGCCAATACATTTCTATCTAACCCAAGAAAGCATCTCTCTTCCTAAACTTTTAAGAAAAGGGAGAGGGAAAAAGACATCTAACTACTCACATTTGAATCACAGCCACAGTTATCCTAGAAATGCTAATTTACTAATTTTCAAATTAAAAGATGACTGCCATAAAGTTTTATCTTGGGGAAAGTTCAGAATGATTTTACTAAGTAGCTTCAATAGGTTGGTGGCTTCAATAAATTAAGTTGATGCAGATCTCCCTTTTGTTACACTTAATCTGCTATGTCTTCCCCCATTGGGTAATTGTAGGTTTGCTATTAGAGGTGCAAAGCTCTTAATCTTCCTCAGTATGATAACTACAGCCACACTGTCCTGAGGACAATTGTGAAAATTGGCTGAAAGCAGTAGCACATGATGTTCATTCATCAGGTGCTGATAGTGCTTGTGACATGGGGCATTGTTCTGATTTACTTTAACAAATCTTCAGAGCTTTAAGTGATTTCAACAGAGACTTTAATCTCTTGCTACAATTAGTGCTCTCTACAGACTTGACATATTATCTAATCATTACATCTCTGGACTTAACAAATCTCACTGCCCTTTTACTAATTTGATAAAGGGCCTTCTTGTTTCCAGAGTTAGTGATTTTTACCCCTAAAATAGATTCTGGTAACATTAAAACACATATAAAATTCCCACTTATAGTTTACATTATATATGATACAAATTGTTTATTCTCAAAATTCTACACTCTCAGTAGTTCTTGAATCTTCTTGATGTTAACAGAAATATATACAAGCAAGGGTGAAACGTCAAAAAGTGGTTTTCTTCCATTTTATAATTTAGTTTTCACACTAGCTCTGAATACCACAATTATTTTTTGAAAAAGTATCCATTCATCTCCGTACAAGACCTTGCAGATATTTTCTGTTTGGTTCCTATCTTTCTATGGCTATTGCCCTTTCCCCAAACATTATCTTATAAAACTAATTAAACTCAGGATACAAAAGTAGAACAAAAGGCACATATTGAACTCATTGCCTCATTTTATTTTTCACAGCTGCCATCAAAGAAAGGAGAGAAGAGAAAATATGTGGACATAAAATATAATTGACTAGATACTCTTAGCAGCAGCTATAAAGGCCTATACAGGGATATGGTAAAAGCATTTGTTAGGATACAGTGGATTGTCGTAAGGACAGATAAACATGTCAGTGCTGGATTCCATGTTTTCTCTATACCATGCCTTTATTCATGCTGTTTTTTTTCTACCTTTAATGCTCTTTCTTCCTTACTCTGAAAATTCTACTAAGCCTTCAAGGCCATTTCAAATGCCATTCATCAGTGAAGCCATATCCCAAAATACCAAGGCCAAATTATTCCCTCCTCAATGTTCCAAAAACATATTTTATACCTTACATTATAATTTTAATCCAAACTCCCACTTACACGTCTCCCCTCCACCACCACCAGGGTTAAGAAATACACCGTGTTACATGGGGTAGATACATATTTATAGCAAACTGAATTGTTAATAAGTTTATGTGATCTCTTACACAGAAACAATCAGAAGTCAAATGGCAAGCAAAACTCAAAATATAATATCCTTTTAATGAAGTATTATGCAGCTATTAAAAATGTGTTAACCAAAACTTGGGGAAATTTTCTGATATAATGGTAGGTGAAAAAAAGCTGAAAATTAAATTGAATAGGATTTTGATTTCAACTATGTATAAAATATATACTGAAAAAAGATTGGAAGAAAATACCAAAGTATTAACCATAGCCTTCAAGATCTTAAAATGATCAAATATATTTAACTCATCTTTCAAATTGAAATGACTAAACATAAACTTTCTCCCTTTTTCCTTTTAGATGAAGGAAATTCCTAACTTCAAAGTAAGTGAATGGTACTAATAACCCAAGCAGAAC